TACTGGGCTTTGGTTTAATACTTCTATTTAAAAATTCATTAAAATGAAGCACTTTGAAAGTGGATGACCTGTGAGCACACTGTCATATGTTTCACTAACGTAATTTGGTATCTCTTCCCCCACCCCCCAAAAATGCTGTGGGCAGTTTATATCTCAGTATTGAGACAGCTACGCGTACCTGAAGAGAGACAAGCTGCTGGTTTTGTTCTTCAGTTACTATAGTCCTTCTCCTGTCCACAATCCCAGTACGGTTTATGTATTTTGAGAGCAGCTGTGTTACCATTGCTGGCGGATGGGCCACTTAACTCAGCAAACGAACCAGTTCATTTTAATACCCATCTCTTACCCAGCCTGTGTAGAACTGGAAAAAAAACAGTGAAACCAGTGTGAGCTACTTAGAGCCTGGTTCCTTTAAACATATGATAAATGCCATTGGCAGATTTTATGATTGCAGCCTAGAAGTTTAGAGATTGGGGGAGGAAAGCAGTTGCTTTATCTGACTGTTTTTAGAGCTTTTGTTCTAAGAAAAACCCAACCCGACATGCTCTCTGCCTGAACAGTTCCCAGCCCTCCATGGCCGTGGGGTGGAATGCAAATAGGACTTGCCACAGCGTGAGCAGAGGAACTCGCAGTTCTCTTTGTTTGCCTTGTTTCAGACCAAGGTTGGTGGGACAAGCCACACGGGGGGGAGTTTTGAAGAAGTTCTCAGCTCTACCGCCCATGCCAGCGCTCAGAGCTCCCTCGCTGGCACCCGCCTCCCCGAGAGCGAAGAGGAGCTCCAGTGTTAGACCGCAGGCCCTCCTGAGCCTCACGCGCCGCTCTGCAGAGACTTGCCCGGCCAGTGGTTTTTAGACGTCCCTTGCCACCCAACTTGTGCAACAAGGTTTTGTCAGCTTTGGAAGATTGCCTCCCTGGCCTTGTGCGTTTCCCCTCTCCCTTTCTGAATTTTGGATGAGCATTTTTATCATCAGGTACTTTGAATACCATAGAAACCAAGTAATTGACTTCTAATGCTCTAAATTCTATGTTAAGTGACGAAAATAGTTTTCATTTTCACATAACTTCCCTCCAACAACCTCCCCAGTCTCTGTTCCTTATTTCTTTTAGTCCACTGCTTTCTCTCTGTTGGTTTCCAACTCCCCTCTCAGTGCCACGTCAGACAGATGGATCCAGAGCTGTGCAAAGATTGCTACTGCCAGGAACAGTCCGTGTACCAGCTGTCTACCCACCACACCAGGTGCCCTTTGCTCAGGAGTGTCTGTACATGATCTGTTTCCTAACAGAATTAAATCACTTACTGTCACAAAAAGTTCTTTCTCTCTCACTGGTACAGTTTGGCATTGCCCTCCACCTGTTGGTCAGCAGAGCTGAGGAGGACAAGAAGAGACACCCAGTTATTGGTACAGAAACTGAACTGATCACAGCTGCTGATTTAAGATGATCATTGTAGCTGGAAAAGCTTCAGTTTAAAAATCTGTTCCATTGTTTGCGCTCTGTGGTTCAATAAGACTTGACAGGGGAACTTAATTACACAGGGAAGTGGAGCAGAGGGAACTACTTAATAATTTTGCCTACATACCTTCCCCTCAAAAATAAGGGAAGGTGTATTTATGAGCCTCAGTCAAGATACAGCCTTAAGTGAAAGAATGCAAACTCAACAACTGGCTCAAGACGAGCCACAGGTTAGAGAGCCCAGGCCTTCTGTCCGCGTCTCGGAGCTGCTGGCGTGAACCCTCCTGTCTTACAATACACAGGATGAGCAGGCACTTCACTTTTTGTGTCAAATTTTGTTATGTTTCACTCCAGAACATAACTCCACCACCTGCATTGTGTCTGCTTAATCACCAAGAGCCCATCATCTCAGCTTCGCTGCAGCATGTTCTCTTGCATCCTTTTAACTTTTTCTAAAAAAAGAGCAGCACACTTGTGACGCTCTCTTGCTGCCTAGTGAGCACGTGTCAGCCTGCATGTTGCATTACTCAGCTCACCAGACTGAGATAAGCACAACTTTACCAGTAAACAAGATGGAAAACAGCCTGGCTACTTTCCAAATGGATGCGTTTTTTTAAGCATAAGCCAAAGCTTCAAATCGGTGTTAGTGAGTTTGACATTACAGACTGCTTAAAATCTTGCGATGAAACTTGGCTTTAAGTGATTTTTTTTTTCTGTGTGGCTTGTTACAGTTTTCACAAAGTTGGAAGTCCTTTCATAATGTTCTACTGGACGTAAGTTAACTTTGGCCATTTATATCAAATGCCTCTTTAGTGTGATTTTTAGCATGGAAGCAAATTTAATTAGTTTTTTTTAGTACAGTTTTCTTGTGACTGTTAGCTTATTTTGTGGTTTTGTGCATAAACATGACGCTAAGTGAAGATATTAATGGTCACCTCAGTTTGTGTAAACGAAGTTATTGATATTAAAAATAAATTTCTCTCTTACTCTTTTACACTTTGTGATGTTTTCTTTTTAATTCTGTGTATTTACTCGCAATACTGTGCATCTCTGAGCCTTGATCTGTCACAGCAGAGTATCAAGGTGAACTGCAACAACATAATCTGCCCTTCCTACAGTTGCTAAAAGCTGCTCAGTCCCTTGTGCACCTGAAATTCCCCATGGAAATCTGTGGCCAAAGTTTTGAAAATTTTGAGGTTCAAAGGAGAAAAGTAATTGAACCAAGTTCAGTAAAAGTGAAATGCATGGCAGAAAACACCATCTGGGTCTAAAACTGTTGGCCTACTTTTGAGCAGAGCCAGCAGCCAAACAGAGATAAAAAGATGGAATCCAGGCACTGGCACCTTCTACAGGACACTGATTTAGGCCTTATTTAAGTATTTATGGATGTATGTACATATACACATAGAAAAATGCTTCTGGGAAAGCAGTAAATTACTTTTTATTTAATTCATTAAGAGCATAATTTAAAAAGTTTGTGTGAGTATGACTTTGTGGAGGTAGGTTGGCCAGAGAAGCTTCTCTTCCATATAAATCCTGAGATGTTACTGTCATCACAGCAGCTGCCACTATGTGTAGGCTCAGTGCTGATACGACCAGATCAGGAGACAGATGTGGGAGAGGCGATTCCCCCTCGCAGGTCGCCTGTCCGGGGCACGGCCCCCCCTTCCCGACACGTGAACAGTGTGCACCGTACTGCATCAGGCAGTTTGCTGACCTTTCCATCAACCCGTCACCATGGCTCGTGCTTTCCAGTCACACCTCCTCCCGGCTCTTTCCAGCCAACTCCTGCTTCTATTAAAATCCATACTCATTGCACCTGCAGTGAGTAGAACGGAATGTAATTTTACACAAAGTATCTGCCAATTTCTTTAACCAAAAAAACCCCCCACCCAACACCCACCCACGGGGGTTCAGCGCTCGGTCCCCCGCAGAACGGCATATCGCCTGCCAGTAAAGCTCCTGCTGCGTTGGAGGAACCAACTGTCCCTGCCGGGGTAGCGCCTGCGCTGCGTTTCTGTCAAGCATCGCTGTAAGGCCGCTTTTCTTGTTTGTGAAGAATGTTCTCGGTTCTCTTCCAAGGCATCTGTAGCTCTCACGCTTGGCATTCAGCACAGACTAACACAGACTATGGTTTGTGCGCACCTCAGGGGAGTAAAAACCACTCTTTGCGATGGGCCCTGGACAAAGCTGGGCCGTCCCCACTCCGCGTCACCCTTGTGGTCGGACAGCTGGCCACCAGTGAGCACTGACCAGCGTCCTATTGCTCCGCGAAGGG